AAAATTTTTTAAATTTTAATTTGCTTTTTAATTTATTTTTAGGAAAATTTATACGTTAACGACACGAAATTTGATTGGTTTTCCTTTTTTGACGAGTAACGTACGAAATAATTCTGATGGCAACTGAGCTGCAAAATAGCAACTAAAAATCTGCGCAAAGCGAAACCCAATAGAGAGCTGTGAAATCCCTTTTTCGTGATAATCCAGGTGTAACGCTGTGTGTGTCGACGTATTTATTTAACACCATTGCTGCAAACGCGTGTACTTCGATTATTTTTTTAGCATCCTGCTGCATCCTGTTACGCAAACGGATTATGAGTATTTATGTGTTCAGAGAATGGCGCTCGAATAGAAAGAAAAATATTTATCCCGACATGTGTAGCAATATTAATAAACTATGCGATTTGAAAATTTAGAAAACATGCTCGCATTTTTGTATATTTATCGTGTGAGTTACAGAGATTGAGAGATGTCCTGCATCCTGTTAACTATTTTCAAAAATTCTAAATCAAAATGCTAAAAATTGTTGTTCTAATGGTAAAAATCAATAATATATCTCTTAAATTGAAAATTTTAATATATTCTTTTAATATTTATAATAATTCTTTTAATATTCATAATTATATTTTTAATATTCATAAAAAAATAAAATTTCTTTAATCTTACATACTTTGAAATAATTTACAACTTATATTACAATATAAAACGTCTTTTCTATTTACTGATGCATTTCATGCACGGGTATGAATCTATGACTCATTTTACGATTTGATTAAAGATCTATTTTCTCGGTAAGATGACTCGATAGACGGAAATATGCGCTTCGCCTTGGGGTAGGTTCGTCTCCATACCAAATATCGTAGAACAAACACAAACACATATGTACATATATTGAGTATCGACATTCGTGAGCACGACCTAAATCATTTATCGTACGATTGCCAATTTGCAGCCCCACGAAAATTGCTCTCGTCGTGCGCCCTCTTTCGCGCATCCCCTTTGCGCTATTGCAACTTGTTCTTTCTCTACCGATTCCGTGTGTTTTAATAAAATGGTATAATAACAATACAAGAAAATTTAATTGAATAAAATTAAACAAAAATTAAATTTGATTTTAAAAAATTAAAATAATATAGAAAAACTCTGAATATAACAACACTTTTTTTTAATATATAAAAGCGTGCTTCAATTCGTTTATTACTCATATTTTGTTTCACGAAAGCTGCAATTTCTCGCAAATGCACCGATATTTTCAGCAATATAAACTTATATAGCTAACAATAACATCCCCAACAATTTGCGCGGATCGCTGATTTATGAATATGGATATATTGCGACATATGTTAAAATTCATCCACTCGTGATAAACAATAAATGATGTCAAAGTTTTGTCAACCGTAAAAAATTTTTTTAAATTTTTTATCGAAAGAGAGATTAATAACTTAATTGTGTTCCAATCGTGAAAAACAATATAAGAGAAATATTATAAATCTAATAAAGAAATAATAATTCATTACTTAAAGAGAAATTATAAATTTCAAGCGGATACTTCAAATGAAAAGTATAAATAAAATAAAATGAAAATTTCTGAGTTTTTAAATATTAACAATATTATAATTAGTAAACATGTTTTATAAATTATACATGTGTATCGTTATATATTATAAACAAATTTGTAAAAATTGAAAAAATTTTCACTTTGTAAATATTTCAGTATTCGGATGCATTCTCGTCATATGATATAAATTACATAGGAGAAAAAGAAACAGACATGATCCAATAAGACACAAAATTAGATCGCTCATTTCCACACGAATTGAACTATGCGAGACACAATAATGACGCGAATATGTTTGCTTTGTCGAAAGGAATAGAAGCATGAGCCAATCCGGTTCTTAATAACGGGAAAGGGAAACAGAATCACCCTCCTTCCTGCGAGAAGATGCTGGTGCTATTCCCTAAGGCAAATATCACAAAAGCACAAATGAAGAAACGAAACGCCAACTTTGTATTCACCGAAATCGGTCATTATGATATTTACAACTTCTATTAAGTTTAAATTATTAATTTTAAATCGTCATATGAGATAAAGCAAAATGAGATAATAGACAAATATATTATAATATTTAATTTCTTCACATAAATATTTAATCATTTTTGATGATTATTCACAAAGAGTAGATTTTAATTAATATGTAAATTGTCTAACAATGTATAAAAATGTATAAAAGCATGTTTAAGTATATTGAAGTAATTTAGAATTTACTTTATAGAGATTTCACTTATGAATATATAATTATTATTAATTATCATTAATTAAACTTTGTTATTTGGGAGTTTTTGTCTAGAAAAAAATTAAGATTACAAGATGACTCAAGATATCATTTAATTAAGAATTAATATTATCCTCAATGCAAAGTTGACGAGTAAAATCAACATTCACTTTGATCGCAATCTAATGAACATCCTTGTTTCCGTCTCGCCGAGGGCTAATCCTTTGGTGATATGTATGTATAAGAGGAACAAGAAGGCGACAGTGCACCTTGCGTCATGGATACTGGTAGCCGATAGCATCCCTTAAAGTAAACATCGCGGAAGGGCGGATTTCTTGAGGGTTGATCAAAGTGCCTTCACACCCTCGGGCAACATATTTGATAGCCTTCGCGAGGATCGATCTTCTCGCTGAGGGAAATCTCGAGAACCCTTAAGCGGTACATGAGCGTCGCAGAACTATGAGAATAAGAAATAGCAAAGAGAGCAATATGGGAATGTTCAATTTCTTGTATCGACTTGATTTTCTCTTAACAACATAAAGATAATTTATTTTTAAGAATTATTTAAAATTCTTCAGTGATAAATAATATAAAATTGTGTAAAGATGACACAGAAATTATTTGTCTCTAGGAAAGCATTCAGTAATGAATAATAAATTTTTTTCAAATTAATTTGCTTTGCGAAAGAATTGTGGTCTAGATAACTCCAGGAGCTGTTATTACACTGCGTGCGCAATCACTCCTTTCGTTTACTCACTACTATTTTCTAAAATAGTATTATTCAACAGTTTATCAGTTCTTTCTAAAGTCGGAGCAAAAAAATACCTATTATGCTCAAATATATACAATATATTTTTCATACATTTAATAAGATTTAGATTTTTTCAAATATTTATTTGTGTTATTTTCTTGCTTCTTTTTATTTACATTTGTAAACTTTTTTAACAGAAAATAGTCACTTTTTCTAAAATTTATCTGTATTAAATAAGAAAATGAGCTCTTAATAAAAAATTACATTAAATTTTCATTCTTTCTCCAAAAATATTTCCCAATTTTATTTACTTATGTCTCCATTTGTCCGATTTATATCGCAGTCATATTACTATGCTATGATGATTATTTCACGATTATTTTCGCAATAGACGATTGCGTGAAATCCGCGAATCGCCAACGGCGAAATGGAGCTAAATTCGATATGCGTAGCGCCGCGAATTTGCAGCTCGGTTTCCAAAATTAGCTCGACGAGAGGGTGTATAGGAAAATCAGCTCGCCTCAGGGGATGACGAGACTGGTCATGGGGTATAGTGAATATTACGGGCCTTTAGGGGAAAGGACAGAACGTGGAAAGAGAAACGTTCGAAACGAAGAAGGACGAATGTCCACGTTAAATACGACGATTCACCGCGTCCGCTTGCAAAATTGCTTCCGTTTTTCGATTAATTCGAGAACGTGAGCGCGTGCAAGAGAGTGTGTTGCTGACAGTTCATTTCGGAAGACTTGCATTCGGAATTTCGGAAATTTCCAGGTGAGGTGAGGATTAATTCGCCATTGCGAATGACAATGTCACTATCGTTTGTTCGATTCGTAAAAACAAGCGTATATACTATATACTTCATTCAAAATTTGAAAAATAGATCTTGAACTATTATTTTCGATATGTTATCGTTCAGTTTATAATTTTATAATTTATATATAATAAATGTATAATAAAATTATAATTTAATGTAGTGAAACGCAATGTCTTTTTTCAAATAGTAATAGTAATTTATCGTCTGCTTGATTAAAACATAATTTAATGCGAATTAATCCTTTCATAATTCAATATTTTAGTCTTCATTATATATTTTATGATTCAATAATTATAATATTAAATAATAATACAACGAGAAAGAGGGAAATCTTTTTTAAATATGATTTAAATATGATTTTTTTAAATATGATTTATCGCCCATTCAATTTGCAAAGACAAAATACGACGTTTACTTAATTTAATTATAATTTTAAAATGTAATTATCTTTCCAATATGAAATATCGCATAACTTAATAATTACAATTGATTATACTTCAATGTGCTTGTAAAGCTTTTAAATTAAATAATTAAATCTCGCTGTTAAATTGCTCTTAATAATTTTAAAATGAAATTGTATACTCGAATGCATCAATAATAGCGTGCAGTCACGTTTACAAGAATACTTTTTAACAGATAATTCATCAATCCTGTTCATTTTTTTTATCAATATACATGACTTAACTGATTTATATTAACATAAAAAATGTAAATAAAAAAGTGTATTCTTTAATATTATAGAGAATTGTTAAAAAGAAATATGATCTACCACTAATTATACCACTAATTATACGCATTAACCATTATATTGTACACACTCATACATATCTAGTTGTATAGCGTAAATATTATAAATAAGAAAATATTTTTTATCGCTATGCGTATTCAATATAGTTTAAAAATAAATTATTTCTAGTAATTTGTCTTTATTGTGCTTTTAATACTTCTATTAATCCTTTTAAAATGAGTTAATATAATTATATTGAATAAAATGTATTTAACTGTAAAGAATATTGATCGCGACTGATCACTATTGTATAATTTATTACTGTTTTTAGTATCTGTTTGCATTAATCTTTGTAAATTCGACAGTCTTAATTAAAATATTTTGCAAGAAAAACTTGATTACAAAGCTAATTACAAACTAATTACAAACTACCTGCTGTGTAGTTTTTCCGCGATGTTGCCACTGATAGAAATGATCCGCGTTTAAAGACCATCCAGGTGCAAAGCTGAATCCCTCTGTCGGCGCTTGTGAACTGGAAACTGGTGCAACTGCACCACACATGCACATGTGATGGCACAGCAAAGGATCTGGGAGCTCCGTATAAACACCCTTTCTACCGCTAAACCATCCCGCTATCGTGTACTTGTCGTTTAGCTGAGCCATTGGCTCTTGATTGCATCGTGATTGCATCAGCATCTCCTTTTCCAAGGTGTATAGAGTCTCGAACTCCAGGAAGGACATACCAGATCTTTCGCCGATGCATGTTGATGTCGTCGATGACACTTCGAATCCCAAACCCATCTCGTCTTGGAACAAATCGTCATCCAACGGCGGTAAAAATTTCCTTGGCGAACGCTTGGGGCTGTGATGCGTCTGTTGACGTTCTTCTGCCGATGGTCTTCTGGGCGATTTCCGCTCGGTACAAGATTTTCGTGGAGATGTAGATGACCTACTGGGACTCGATGACGAGGATTCGTTTGCTTCCAAGCTTCTTTCCGGGATATTTCCAACTAGAGAGGGTATCAGCGAGCGCGAAGCTTTCAATCGACAAATTCTGCTCTTCGGCTTCGTCCCATTGCTGGTGCGTGAATAGCCCGCGGGCGTCTTGAGACCCGACATTGTTCCTCTTTCATTTTTCGAGTCGCTCTATGCAATCGCGATTCGTTGAATAGATTTTCAAATATCCAGAGAGATCCAAAAAGTTTCACAGAGTTGACGATTCAAATGGATCGGTCCTTTTAATTAGAATTCATTGAAAATTCTAATCTCACATTACGACGATTCAATGACGGACAATATAATTGGAAAAATATGTGTTATATTTTGATTCACAATTAACAATTTTTTTCTCTGATGAAATAATAATTATTGGATTTTTTAAATTTATTACACTTTCCTGAGTGTATTTTTGGAATTATTAAATTTCTTAGAGAAAGAAAAAGAAATTTTTAATTGATAAAAATTTTATAATCGTTAGTCTGTAAATTATTATATATGAATATTACAACAAACTCTTCATTTCAAACTTAACTTTAATTATAATAAATACTATGACAATGAATACTACGATAAAATAAGAATTGTCTATCATTATTAAAGATGCGCGTATTATTGTAATAAACATACGTAAAAAAACAATCAATTAATCATACTATTCGACACTTCACATTCTTGCATAATGAGTAATTTTCACGAAAAATTTCATCGATATCCATTGATCAATCTTGAAATCACGGGGACCGACACAGCAGAATGAATACACGATCATCCTTTCTCGGCAGGACTGACGGTACGGCTCATTGCAGGACGATGCGAGGCGTCGCGGCAATGAACGTGCGCACGCGCACATTGCAATTGTATTGGGTGAACCTACACAACCCAGTTTGCTACCTAAATTATTTATTACATATAATGAAATATTTTTGTGATGTAATTATTTTTTATGTATTTTCTCCCTCTCTTTCTCCTCGATGCGTTAAATATATAAAATATATCGAGATACCTGAACATCGTCCGTCTGTTACTTACTATACATTTTCTAATGTTATAACAAATTAATTAATCTTATATTTCTATTCGTAGATAAAAAGTTTTTTAAAAAACATAATATAATTTTTTAATTAATTATGCAAATTGATAAACTTGTCACTCCTTCACTTATCTTTTCGAAAAATCATGAATTAAATTAAGAGAAGCTGTGTACTATGATAGCATTATTGTTATGTTAAAATTTGATATTATAAAACCTAGTGAGAATTCTCGCGAGAAAAAAGTTCTATTTTTATAAAATTATATATAAAATTCCTTTTCCTTATTAAAATATTGATAAATATCATTACATCACACATTTTTAAACAAATACTACGTGTTGCGACAAATAGTAAAGAAGCTTTTTAAAAAATTGAAATCTCATTTCTATTTTTATGAATTTTCTCATAATTTTTTAAAATAGAAACGGCTTTTCTCGATTACATTTTCAAAGGCTAATTAGATTTTCTATGTTTGAAAAGCACTTTATATATACGGTAAATAAAATGAAAAGCGACAATCGAGAAAGAAAGGAGAGAAGAATAGCGATTATTTTACTCGTAGTGCGCCACCCGTAAATTTTGCGAGCAGTCGAGTTACATCGGCGCAATAGGCGTCGTGCTGACTGCTTCGAGGCGTGAGAGCTTTTTGCGAACCTGACTGTAAAATTGGATTAGCGTAGTTAATTGCTAGATACTAATGGAAATCGAGCGTATTCGGATTATGACGAGTGACATTCGAAGTAAAGAGAAATTTGAGGAGGAAACGTGACAATGAACGATTTAAATATTTAGATTTTATAATTCATAGATGCACACACACACACACACACACACACACACACACACACACACACACACACACACACACACACACACACACACATTTCTCAGGAATATATTACCAATAAATTTTTTTTTATATAAAGATGTCTTATGATAAATTAAAACTTGATTTTCATTTGAAAGTAACTCTTGAAAGAGAAATCACAATTTAATTAGATCGAATAATTCGCCAGTTTACTTTACCTATTATGTTATTATCCATTTCTCTTTTCAATCAAGAAAATTATTAATATTAAAAAAATTAAAAAAGTAAAAACAAGTAAGAGATGTAACTTTCTAATATTTTAGTCCTTCTATTCTGCCAGACACGTGCTTTAATACACACTTGTAAGCATAATTCTTGAAAGACAAAATATTTTACTGAATTAAATATTAATTCGCTGCTTTATAAAATGTATTATTAAATAATAATGAAATTAAACCTCAATTTAATATCATTTCAAAACACTATTTATAATTATAATTTAATTTTTATTTAATAATTTATAATTTTATTTAATTAAATAATAATTAAATTATAATTTTATTTAATTAATAAATAATTTCATTAACTTATAATTTTATTTTTTATAATGTTTCTTTTTCTTGAAAAATTCAATAGTCTAAGAATCTAGTTAATCTCTTAAGTTAATCTTTTAAGAGAAACGAAAAAAATTAAGTTTAATTTTCCCTTCTTTACATTATCCCTAAAATATTATGTGTATACATATGATAATGTAACATATGCCGATTTTGTAATGTAGATTGAATTATTCGAGAGAGGAACAAACAAATTTCTTTTATAGCAATTCTTCTATCACAATTGAAAATATATCGACAATCGAAAAATCATCGACAAAATCCGTCCGGTGATATCTCATTTTGACGAGTCCTCGAAGGTCATCGAAAATTGAATGGCGGCATGATAAAAGACCGTATCCCCGAGCGATAAGAAGATGAACGCGTCTGTCTCACTATTCTCGATATTTCGATCGTTGCCGAGATATTTTCCGACATTGGCATAGGGAATGTGACGGAGGCGATGCGGGGACAAAAATCACCATCCCGACGTGTGTACACGTGGGGTGAATATTATAAAAGCGTCATCCTGATGAAGGAAAAGGTACACTACCATGCCATTCCACCCTTCAAAAAAGCAGCCCTCTCTTGGCTACACCATGACGAGTGCCGACACAATATCACCCCTTACTCCTCGTAGTCTCCCGCAATTCCTCTAGAACGAATTTACATATTTATGGTGAGTGTTTGACGCACCAGAAGATTTCAAATGCATGCTAACTAATAAGTTTGCGCTCCTTGTTGCCCGGGTGACATTAAAAGCCCAGTAGGGTTGAGGGTGATGTTAATTAATATAATCTTGATGCTGAGATAGTAGGATAAGGGTAAAGATGGGAAACTTCCGGAAAACAATATCAAATATCTTGCATAATAATTATAGCATAGACTATAGAATAGACATAATATAACGTGGTGGTATAATACTTTAAAAATGTTTTAAATTTTAACTATTATATAATAATATCTAATATTGTGTGTATGATATTTATTTTTATACATTTAAAAATATATTATTCCGGAAAGTAAAATTTTAAAAATTAATTTCGTTGAATATTAAAATACTACATTTTTTATAAAAAATATTACATTTTTTAATTCTGAATTTCAAGAGTATTTAGAATGTCAAAAAATTATTATTATAAAGCAGAGACATGATAGAAATATTTAATTCTTGAACTTATTTTTATTTTCTCCTATTCTTTTTGTTTTAATTAATGAAACATTTTTTCTCAATGATTTTCTTACATTATCTTATTTTATCTTATTTTAATTTTCTTTATTACACACATTATACAACATATATGTTATATGTATATTTTTTAATTTTGACTGATCAAAAAATGTTACACGTACATTCCTTATTCTGCAATAATTATGAATGATTGCGTTATGACGAGAATGAAATGCATCAAAACAGTAGAGTCACCTTTAATTATGATTTATTGAATTATGAGTCTCCTTTAATATGATTTATTTCAATCAAAAAAATTATCTTTGAAAAAAATGGAAACACCGAGAAAAAAAATTTGTCAAGACCTCAAAAAATTGCGAGCGCTCTTAATATCGCATAAGCCTGAGCGAATAATGTCTCTTTATTAGCAAAACCTGTCGAATCGATATGAAACCCCGTACGCAAACAAACATACAAATGGAAAAGAGTAGGAGGTAGCGGGTGATGGCAGCCAAAGGGTCGTCGCAATAATTAATAAAGCCGCACCATCGGGCTTAACGCTGTCGCGATTCCTCGCTTTATATTCGCTTTCCGGTCTTCCTGTCGACTTACTTTTCCGTTTCCACGAATTCAATATAATAATGCACCCGCGTTCTCGGGTTAGCCCCGCGGCTTAGCATTTTAGGCCAGAGGTTCTCAGCCAACGATTCAAAAATTATTTGATCAAATTACAAGAGATTAAATCATGCTTTTATAATAATAGCAAAAATGTATCTCATCATGTTGAATCTTTTTAATAATAAAATAATAATAAAATAATAATAAAATAATAGTAAAACAACTTTCATATATGCAATTTAAATTTCCACATTTCTTTCTAAAATTTTTCTTTAAAATTTATTTTAATTAACAGTTATATATTATAATATGTATGCACGTGTATATGTCTATAATGTAAAACCGCTACAACTTATCTATATTCGTCACAGATGTTTTCGTTAATTTATTTTTTAAGTAATGTATATAATAAAAATAATGGAGATTAAGATAAAATATTGTGAAACTGCTGCCTTGCAGCATATGTAAAACTCAAAAATTTCAAATATTTAGTTTAGGTATCTTTAGATAGCAAGGCTTGCGGAAGAAGAACCGTATTCACCGAATCTATTGCGAAGGGTAGCTTAGCGGAAAACATTATTGCTGTGTCACTGGCC